TTTGTTGGCCTTTAGGAGTGTTTTCCAGTCCAGTCTGTTGGGGCACCATGCCCTGGCCCCAAAGTCCACCTTCAGCATTCCCTGGGGACCTCGCAGCTCCGTTCTCTTGCTGTTCTGTTGCACCCCCTTAGTGGTTTGCCTCAGTGTGGCTTGATTAGATCAGGTGCAATTCCCACACTGTGTCTCCGGTGTTGTCCCCTGTAGGGCTATGGGTCAGTGAGGGACGTCATGTCTCATAGTGGGGCTGTCCATGTGGTCCTCTCTGTGGACTGGCTGCTCTAATTGGGATCATCATCCTCAAGGACTGGTGGGTCAGGATGTGCTCCACTCTCTCCTCCTCCCCCTTCATCTGCTCCCATGTGCTCCCATCAGATATGTCCCTCTTCCGGAGCTGCAGATTCAATGCCATACTTAAATTCTTCTGGGGGGAGGGGCAGGTGTCCACGTAGTAATTGGGATTAGGGCCGGCCTGACATGAATGTAATTTTACAAACAAAAGAAATCACCACGGTCTGAACAACATCCTGTAAAGCAGCCGTTCTCAACCTGGGGGTCGCGACCCCCTTGGGGGTCGAACGACTTTTTCACGGGTTGCCCGATTCGTAACAGGAGCAAAGTGACAGTGATGAAATAGCAACGGAAATAATTTTATGTTTGGGGGTCACCACCACATGAGGAACTGTATGAAAGGCTGGCGGCATTAGGAAGGTTGAGAACCACGGCTTTAAAGCTTTCCGTCTTACTGCTGAGCCACATGTGTGCACTGAAGGAGCTGCATGTGGCCTGAGGACTGCAGTTAGCCACCCTTGTGCCAGACTGGGGACCCAAAGGTTGGCAGTTCAAACCCACCGGTGACATGCAGAAAAGAAGCTTGGCGACCCGCCCTGCAGCCCCTGGAAACAGCAGGACAGCTTTGGCAGAGCCCCGGGGCAGCTTTGTGAAACCCATGGACTGGAACCCAGCCACAGCCATCTCCAGCCTCCCTGCAGGGCGGGAGGTCTGATGAAGGAGAGAAATGGGAGCAGGCGGTTTAAAAGCCGGCTCACAAGCCCAAGCCAAGATGCCCTCTCCAGCTCAGCCCTCCCTGCCCCTCGGCTCTGCTTGTCTTGCTGTGACGTTGGCCCAAAGGAACCTGGGCGAGGTGCCTGGGGTCTAGTGGGAGGGGGACCCTAGGCGCCCTCTCTCTCCCTCACCCAGGCCCTGGGTCTCAGGAGCGCGCAGACCTGGGAGACCCAGCAGTTCACTGACCTCTGTCCTGCCTGCTCCCCAGGGCTTCGCCTCTGTGTTCTCCAGCCGCTTGGCCCGGAAGTCAGCCTCGCGTGCGGAGGCCAGCAGCAGCACCATGGCCGATGGTGAGGGGTACCGGAACCCCACGGAGGTGCAGATGAGCCAGCTGGTGCTGCCCTGCCACACCAACCAGCGCGGTGAGCTGAGCATTGGGCAGCTGCTCAAGTGGATCGACACCACGGCCTGCCTGTCCGGTGAGGCCCTGCCCAGCAGCCCTGACCCTCCCTGGCCCCAGACCCAGAGCACTCACAGCAGCCTTGCAGGACAGAGCAGAACTGCCCCAGAGGACTTTCTAGGATATAAATTTTAAGGAGCCCTGGCCCTGGTGGTGTCGTGGTTGCGCATTGGGCTACTAACCACCAGGTCAGTCATTCGAAACCACCAGCCACACTCCTTGGGAGAAAGGGGAGGCTTTCCACTCCCATAAAGAGTTACGGTCTCGGAAACCCACCCGTGCACGGGGCAGTTCTGCCCTGCCCTACAGACCCGCCATGAGTTGGCATGGACTCAATGGCCGTGAGTTTGGTTTTTGGTTTGGTGGGTTAGTGGGTCCTGAGTTGGGCCACTGATTGCAAGGTCAGCTGTTCAACTCCAACTCCATAAGGTGCTCTGTGGGAGAAGGATGGGGCTGGCTGGCTCCAGACCGTAGATTTATAACCTTGGAAACCCAAAGGGGCAGCTCCACTCTGTCCAAGAGGTCACTGAGTTGGAACTGACTCGGTGACGGTGGGCTTAGGAGATCTTTATGGGAGCAGGTTGCTGCTGCTTTCCTCCCACGGAGCTGCTGGGTGGCTTTGAACTGATGCCCTTTGGGTTAGCAGCCACGCCGTAACCACTGCACCAGCAGGACTCCAGAGGCCCAGAGGAGAGGCCACTGTTTTCAAGGTGGTCACTGTTGTCCCCGAGGATCACACTGCTCCTACCTTTGATCATGCTGCCCGCCTCCCTAATTTCAGTGCTCCGCTCAGGCCGGCCTCCTCTCCCCCCACCCCACAGCTCTTGGGGGCCTGCACAAGAGTGCAGCCTTCAATGGGGGCAGCTTCAGGATGGGCTTGATCCTGTCCCTGTCTGCCTTTCTGTGCTCCTTAAGTTGTGGTGGATCGAACCCGTGGTGCTCTCCACCCCCCAACTGGTGGGCAGGGGGTGGACAAGTGACACGCCTGTCCCCCAGCACTGTGATGGGGGCTGGGAAGGAGGAGGGACTCTAGTCTCTGACCTGGCTGGGAGGCAGAGAAGGGCCCCCATTGGGGCTGAGACACCTCATGGGAGACTACCCTGCTGGTACCCCTCGGCATCCACCATGGATAGTATCTCAGCTGAGGGGAGCAAGGAAGGTGTCCTTAACCAGGGGTGCAGAGGTGCAGGTGGGAAGTGGGAGATAGCATGATGTGACCATCCATCCAGTCAGCCAGCCAGCAGATACTTACTGTCAACTCTGGGTGGTCGCTGTTCCAGGGACCAGGTACAGCAGTGACCAGGACAGGCAGTAGTCCTTGGCCTCATGTGGCTTATGGTCTAGTGGCACAGAGCCCACCAGGCGGACAAAACCCAGATTGTGAATAGGGCCCGGGTGTGGCAGCCGAGGTTCCTGTGGTCGGAGAAGCATCTCTAGGTAGGTTGCTAACGTGCGACTTTCTCCCCCACCCCTCCCCCTCCTGGTGGCAGCGGAGCGGCACGCAGGCTGCCCCTGCGTCACAGCCTCCATGGACGACATCTATTTTGAGCACACCATTAGGTAAGTGGCTTCCTGAACCCCCCTGGTCATCCCACCAAGCCTGGGGTCTGATTGTCCATCCCTCCATGTGGTCGGCCTCTGTGCTAGCCGGAACCTGATTGGACTGACCCAGGGCCTATGGAGTTGGGGCAGCCTCTGGGGGCTGGGGCAGCAGTGGGCAAGGCGCTGGCCTGCGGCTGGTCTTGCTGGGCCAAGGAAGGGGCTTTAGATTCGGAGTTTGGTTGTTGTTCAGACCAGGAGCCCTGGCTACGTCTTGGGCTGCTAACTGCAAGGCTAGCAGTTTGAAACCACCAGCTGCTCCTTGGGAGAAAGACGAGGCTTTCCACTCCTATAAAGAGTCACAGTCTCAGACACTCACAGGGACGGTTCCGCCCGGTCCTATAGGACCACTATGGGTCAGCGTCCACTCGATTGCAGGGATAGTTGTTGAGACATTAACATAGTGTGACCTGACTATGGGGAAGTCAGCGTCTCTCCCGGGGCCTTAATTTTCTTACCTGCAAAATGGAAGGGATTCGTCTAAAGTGGATCACATCTGTGGGTCCCTGGGCAGTAGGAAGGCCCTTAGTTTAGAGGTGGATCTTAGGCAAAACCTGAGCTCGAAGCTTGGGTCATTGAAATGTTGCTCACATGCCCCCAGGGAAGAGGAACTCACTACCTTACAAAGTAAACTTTTTTCTTTTTAATGTGTGTACTGGTTAGATAGTTTCTTTATTACAAGGCACTGAGCTTTCTTTGTCTCCCTGGTTCGTTGTTCATCAGCCCAGCCCCCAGACTCAAGGAGCGTGGGAAACCCTCACCCCAGACACTCTGAGGGTCTCCAGGTCGGCCCCATACAGTAACCACTAGTACCTAGGACACCACGGTGGACTGAGATCTATAAGGTCCCCAGTTTGAAACCTGCCGCCAATTCACGGCCGGAGAAAGACGGGACACAGTCACAGCGTTGGAGACTCGCAGGGGGCAGTTCTACCCGCTGCTGTGGGGCCACTCTGAGTCGGGTCGACTCGACGGCAGTGAGTTTGGGTTTTGATCTCAAAGGGTTACTCGTTACGAGAAGTGCGTGTCTTGGTCATGTTCTGGTCCACCTTATAGACCTGTCTGTTGTTTAGGGGCAAGCTGAGTCCTAGATCTGAAGGGTGACGAAGGGCCACAGTTGGGGGCCCCACTATCATTATTTTCTAAATCCATTAAATCACTCAGTCTTCAGAACAACCCTATAAGGTTATGGCTATTTTACAGATGAGGAAACGGAGGCACAGGGAAATGAAGCAGCTAGCTCAAGGTCAGACAGCTAATAGGTAGAGGATTCAGCGTATACATACTACCAGGCAGGCAGCCGACCTTGGAGCCTTTGCGCTGTCTCTCCTATACGTCTGGAGGTGAGTGCAGTGGTACAGAGAGGAGCCAAGGGAGGCTGCCTGGAGGAGGCATGTGCTCAGGCCTGGTAAGTAGCCACTCTCTGGGGCTCCGCTGAACTCCCTCTGGCCAGCTCTGTGTCCCCGTGGCCAGCACAGGTTGTGGCACTTGAAGCAGCTCAGGGTGGAGACGAGTTGGGGTGCACATAATGGATGGACCTGCCCAGGATCCAGTAGGGTGAAGGTGAGTCTGGGGAGAGACACAGGGGAAAGCACAGAGGATTCTGGGAAGGGGCAAGGCCCTGGAGCTTGGCCTGTGGCCAGGAAGGCCTGTCTGTACCAGAGGGAAGCAGGGAAAGGTTTTTTTGTTTGTCTGTTTTGGCTTTGCCACTTAAAACATATCTCTTAGAGGTAAGGACTCTTTAAAAGCAAAACGTCAACATTATTACCATATGTAAGAAAAATTAATAATTCCTCACTAAATCAAATATGCAGCCCAGATTGAAATGCCCACACACCTGCCTCATGAAGTTTCCCCCTGTGTATAAAGGGATTAGTTATGCCTTTAAAGATATTTTATTGTGATTTAGGTGAAAGTTTACACGGCAAATTATGTTCCCATTTATTGATTTGTGTGTGTGTGTGTGTGTGTGTGTGTGTGTAAATTGTTCCATGACACAGATGACACTTTTACAAGGTGTCTAGTTCCCACCGGCTCTGTTCGGCGTGTTCTGCCTGCACCACTCTGGCTGCCCTGCCCCTCTCGGCCTTCTTCTCGTCTTGGCTGTTGGGTAAAGGCGGGCCATTTGGCCGCGTGCAGGGAGCACAGCACTCTTGGGTGACCGTGCGTGTTTTATGGGCCGATCTGTTCTTTGGCTGAGGAGTCACGTTCAGAGTCTCCTAAGGCGACAATCTCAAGGGCTCCTCTAGCCTCCGTTGGGCCAGGAGCTGTCACCTATTTTAAGGAATTTCAGTTTTGTTCTACATTGTTCTCCCAGTCTGTCTGGAACCTTCTGTTGTGTCTCTCGATAGAAGAGTGGGTACTGGTAGCTGGGCACCATCTAGTTTTTCTGGTCTCAGGTTAGAAGAGGCTGTGGTGCATGTGGGCTGTTAGCCCCGTGCACTGGTTTCTTCTTTGATTCTTTGGTTTTATTCCTTTTTGCTCATGAATCTGTTTCCTCTTACAATCTATCTATCTATCTATCTATCTATCTATCTATCTATCTATCTATCTATCTATCATCATCATCATCTTTTACAAAGTAGGATACAAACAAGACTACAATTGGTTAATCTGTCTCTCTTTTAAAACCTCTAAGGCTCCCCTTCTCCCACCCCTAGTTCTTTCTCTGGCTTCTGAGTACTCCTTGAGTGAACTGAGGAAGCTTGGTCCTTTGCCCCTTAGGATTTTCCGTCATCTGGGTTTTGCTATTGCATTGCTGTTGTGTCCCTTAAGGCACCCCACTACTCTGTAAGGGAGACTTAGCCCTGGGCAAGGGCTTGAGCTGGGTTTAGCATTGGGTTTGTGGAGCTGCCTGTCTTAGGTGTGCAGAGCACCTGGAAGGGCGTTGGGGACTCCTGGGTGGGGGGATGTGGCTGAGCCGTCTGGCAGTGACCGTGGAGAAGGAGCCAGTGGGCTGGCTGGGGGATTGAGAGGGACAGTCAGGAAGAAGAACTCGGAAGTCCGAATAGATAGCACCTAAGAGGAGGAAGAATAGCAAATTCCTTTCTTATTATTTTTAAATGCCCTGGGAAATAAGGCTCTTCTTTTTATTTGCAGGATCATAGAAGTGGGTTTTCTAACTTCTTATCATGCGTACTTCCAAATATATAGAAAAACTGAATAGTGCAATGATCATCCTCACTGAGATTCAGTATAAACCGGGTCCTGCATTTGCTTCAGCTGTGGGTACGTGCTGGCCTGGTAGCCAGGATGTCGGTGGTGTGAACTCATCTGGCAGTTCTACTCAAGAAAAGAGCTGGCGATTCGCCTAGAAAACTCCATAGGGGGGTCTGTTATGCCACCCAGAGCCATTATGACCCCACCTACCAACAATGACCATGAATCCCCACGGTGATGTTGTTGCTGCTGCTGTTGTTGGGTGCGGCGGCACAGAGGGAGACACCGCAGGCCCTGCACCATCCTTACAGTCGCTCCTGTGCTTGAGCCTATTGTTGCAGCCACCGGGCAGTCTCTGTCGTTGAGGGTCTGCACCTCTCTACCCTGCCAAGCACGAGCTCTTCTGACAGCATGTCCAAAGTGTGTGAGATGACGTCTCACCGTCCTCGCCTCTAAGGAGCCCCTGGCTGTACTGCTTCCAAGACAGATCTGTTTGTCCTTTTAGCAGTCCATGGTACTTTCAACATTTGTCTTCGGCCCCATAATTCACATACATTGATTCCTCTTAGGTCTTTCTTAGTCCACATCCGACTTTCACATGCGTATGAGGTGATTGGAAATACCATCGATTGGGGCAGATGCACCTCAGTCCTGAAAGTAACGTTATTGCTTTTTAACACTTTAAAGTGGTCCTTCCTACAGGGATAAATAAATCTATAGAGTTGCTTCCACCCCGAACAACTTAAGCGTTGCCGACATCACGATCCTCATCCCTCTCCGTGTCTGCATGCATCTCCTGAAGGTGGGGGTCTCTTCCCTAACCATCGGGACTCCTGCGGAAAGGATCAGAAAGGAATAAATCCTCAGCAGAGGATTTGTGAATGCGCTCCTGCTGGGGCTCCGGCCCGGCTCCCGGCTGCACACATGCTCTCTCACTGGATCCTCAGGACCGCAGGTAGTAGTCAAGCGTTCTCCCTACTTATCAGAACGAAATAGACTCAGCGAGGCCAAGTAACTCACCCAAGGTCACACAGCTTTCTAGTATTGAAGTCAAGGTAGAGCTTGACTGGAACCCAGGGCTGTCCATTGACCACTGGCCTTGGAAGAGACCTTTCCCAGGCTTACGGAAGGGCGGGGCTACCTCTCTGGCTTTCTGATCCAGGCCAAGGTGAAGTAGACCTTCAGCCTAACAGGCTCTGCCGGCTGTGCTGTCCCCTTGGTTTCCTGCCCTGGTTTCTCCGTTCTCTTTCTTTTCCGGGAACATTTTGTTATTTGAAGAAGGAACCAGCACCGTGTTCCCCATGTTTATGAGCCAGGGCCCAGAGCAGAGAGAGGAGTGGCCTCAGGTCACAGGATGTTGAATGGAGGCCAGCTCCCGTGGGCTGGGCCTTTGCTGCTTGGTCAGGCACAGGGCAGGCTGGCTGGCTCCCAGGATCATCTGGCCTTCACTTGACCTTGGCAGCCTTTCCAGAGGGACAACTGCAGCTCGAAGGACTGGAACTGGTGCTGCCAACAGACTTGGTCTAGAGCCCAGACTCTGCTACTGTTTGCTGGGTGGCCTTTGGCAAACGGCTTAGCCTCTCTGGTACTTAAGCCACCTCTAACCCACCTGGTAAGTTTATCATTTCACAGTCGTGCACAGTGCCTGGTATGTAGTAGGTGCCCTTTAAATAGCTCCGTCTCCATCACCTTCTTGGTAGGCATGGCTCTACGAGTGCCCTGGGTTACCAGTTGGGCTGCTACCCTCAAGGTTAACAGTTCAAAACCACCAGAGAAAGAGGAGGCTTTCTACTCCCATGGAGAGTTACAGCCTCAGAAAGCCATGGGGCGGTTCTGCCTGGTCCCAGAGGGCTGCAGGAGGCAGGATGCACTGGAGGCCAGTGGATTTGGTTGTTCGCTAGATGTGCGCTTCATGAATTCCGTCAGCCACTGTTTGTGGAGGACCTGCCCTGGGCCATGTCTTTGGCCTTGACGGACAGTGGGGGGCAAACAGAAGCCACCCTTTTCCCCAAGGCGCCTAGGGGCTGTGGGGGTGGGGGTGAGAGCAGAGGCCAGGCTGTGGGGAGAAGGGCGATGAGGTGGACACTATGGGGTTACCGCAGCACAGGTTAGGGTCTAACCCAGGCATGGGGGGCTTCCCCGAGGAGGTGACCACTGAGCCAAGCGCAGTGAGAAGCTGACACGGAGGAATGGGGTGGAGGGATGCCATATGAAAAGAACCAGGCCACCCTCTCGGCCTCAGCTTCCCCACCTGCAGTGCGAGGTGCCGGAGCCCCTGCTGGCTGACTGAGGACTCCCTCGGCAGCTGGCGGTGGCGTTGCAGGTGTGAGTCGGCTCTGGGCCCTCGGAAAGGCTCACCTCCTGCTTTTCTCTCCCCAGTGTTGGACAAGTGGTGAACATCAAGGCCAAGGTGAACCGGGCCTTCAACTCCAGCATGGAGGTGTGTGGGACACTGCCGTGGGGTACATGCACATGCTGGACTCGGCTTCTTCTCTAGCCGGTAGCTCACCGGCTCCAGAGCCCACGTGAAAGTGGCTGAGTTCTGAAATGACCGGCAGGGCCCGCGGAATCCGTAGGGTCGTTCTGTCCAGCACCCAGTAACAGAGAAGGGGAAGCTGAGGCCCAGAGAGGAGAAAGGACTCGCCCCAGGCCGCTAAGTCACGTACATTCCAATGTGGGACCAGGCGTCCAGATTCCAGACATCCCCGCAGCCCCAGCCCCGACCCTTCGGCAGCTAGGTAGTTTCAGGTGTGGGGCGAGGAGTCGGCCTCCACTGCCTCTTGTTTCCTGATCTGTAAAGTAGGGAAGTGATTCCTGCATTGTGGGCTTGTTGCAGGTGTAGTGGGAGGACCCCGTGAGGATGCACAGGGCTCCGTGATCATGGGGCTGAGCCTCTCAGGAACTGCAGGCCCCGGTAACTTGACCCAGCCAGGCGGCCCGGGGCTCGGGGCTCCTGAGGATCGCAGAGCCCTGCCTGTGGCCCCTGTGGCTGGAAAGACCCATCCTTTCACTGTAGCTAATAACACGCTACCTGTGTGGGAGTCCCTGGTAAGGTGCAAGGGAGCCCAGGTCACGGAGTGGTTATGTGTTGGGCTGCTAACGTCAAGGTCAGCAGTTCAAAACCACCAGCTGCTCCACCAGCGAAAGATGGGCTTTCCACTGCAGTCAACAGTGCTTGTCTCAGAGACCCACAGGGGCAGTTCTGCCCTGCGCGGTCGGATCGCTGGGAGGCGGCAGCCACTTGATGGCAGTGAGTCGGGGCTTTTGGTTTGGTCAGTGCAAACAGCTAAGCCCTTAACGATCAAATGAAAGGTTGGCATTCAAATCCACCCAAAGGCACCTTGGAAGAAGGTGCTGACAGCTCATGGTGAGCGTGCACCGACCTAGTTCTTCTCTGAAACACAGGGCCTCCAGGAGGGGGGATTGACTCACGGCCACGCATCTGCCTACTTGAAAAGCCGTCTCCTCGACACGGCTTCCTATCTACCCTCTCAGTAGATATCTGTGTGGGTGGACAAGGTTGCCCCATTTTACAGATGAGGAGGCTGAGGCCCAGAGAAGGGAAGTGACTGATCCAAGGTTTCCAAAGAGCTGGTAGGCAAAACCTGCCCTGCCCTGAATCGCTTAGCCTCCACAGTTGAGACAGAAACCCCGGGGTCCTGCCCCTCTTGAGCCCTGCTCCTCACGTACCGGGTCCCCATCCCCTTCAGGTGGGCATCCAGGTGACCTCCGAGGACCTGTGCTCTGAGAAGCAGTGGGCCGTGTGCAAGGCCCTGGCCACCTTTGTGGCCCACCGGGAGCTCTCCAAGGTAAGCGCGGCACTTGGCTGCTGGGTGGGTCTTGGCCACTGGTCCTTGCACTGAGAGAGAGGGCCTGGACCAGGGGATAGGGGCAGAGGGACTGGCAGAAGCCTGAGGAGGGGTTGCAGCCAGGAATCCCCAGCTCCCAGAGGAAGGCCCACCCTCTGCCATCTGCCCCCAGCATCCTCCCTTCTCTCCTTTATCCCACTACTGTTTGGGGCTTCTTCAGGCCCCCCACCCCCGTGCCTTTACCGAGGCAGCTGACTAGGGGCAGCTGAAGGAGGAGCGTGAAGGATCAGACCAGCAGGAGACAGGGCAGTGGGATAGACGGGGAGGAGAAGACCGAGGGTCCACCAGCAGCTCCAGGCTGACTGATCGAGGTGGGGACAGGCCCTGAGCCCTTCAGGATGCCAGTCCTGAGCCCTGCCCACCCACCTGCCCTGTGGGTCGCCTGCAGGTGAAGCTGAAGCAGACCGTCCCGCACACGGAGGAGGAGAAGACGGAGCACAGCGTGGCCGCTGAACGCCGACGCATGCGGCTGGTCTACACGGACACCATCAAGGACCTGCTGGCCAGTTTCCCCATTCAGGACGGTGAGCAGTGCAGGCCTGGCCGAGGGAGGGCAGTTGGCACCCTGTACGGCCCTCCACGTGGGGTCCTCACGGGCGGGGAAGGGTGGGGGGGCGGGCGTAGGCACCCGTGGTGACCTCAGACCCGCCCGACCCGTCTAGGAAGAGGGGAGCAGCATGGACAGTGGACAGCATACACATGGCTGGGTTTCTGGGAGCCACAGCACTGGGGAGGGTAGAGCTGAGCCTCGTCTTAGAAAAATAGAGACAACAAAGCAAGAGTGCCTCCTCCTCCGGAACCCCAGCCCCCTCCTCAGAGACAACGACAGTTAACCTGTTTGGGCTTCTTTCCGGAAGCTTCCTCTGCCTCCCAAGCATCGCACGTCTTGTTTGGTTGTTGCTGTGTGCCCCCAAGGCGATGTGACTGGGACAGACGAGGATGTAGGGTTTCCTTGCTGTCCTCCTGCGGAACCAGAGTGCCTGTGGGTCCCCCCCCCCGCCCCCCCCAGCTGCTGGTGGGTTTGGACAGCTGACCCTTCCATTCTCAGTCGAGTGCTTAAATGCCGCACCACTAGGGGTCCTCAGCCCCCCGCCCCTCTCTAAGAATCCGATCATATTATTTATTTACTTTGTTTGAGATGAACTTGTTTCTCTAAACAAAACACGTCCTTATGTTTTGGGGCAGGGCCCCATCTGCCCACCACACATGAACTCTGTCCATCACCTCGGGTCCATCTCCTTTCCCCGGGCGTTCAGCATGGCCCCTTCCAGCCCTCAACCTTCCCTGTCTTTGCTCTGAGTCATTGGTGCCCGTTGGTCTCATATTGATGGGTTTTAAATAGCTCAGCCTTCCCTTCTTACCAGCCAACAAGGGAGCATTCCATGATACACCGCCCCATCTCTTGTTCCCCACCTTAAAATGGACCCTGGCGATTGTTCCCTGTGAGATTGTCCCCCAAGTCCACTTGGGAGTGGGTAGGGCTGGGACAGGCGGGGAAGCGCGTGCCTGACGGGGCGCAGTGGGTGAAGGCCCAGAGGAGAGACCCTGGGCTTCTTCAACTGTCTCCAGAGTGTCCGGGTGCGGGGCCCCTTCCTGGAACGGCCAGGATGTGGTTTTCAGACCCATTAAAGTAGCTTGGCTTCCCAGAGTGAGGAGAGGGCCAGTGGGCTCCAGTGAAGGTGGCCCGTGGCACCCTGAACCCATGCGTGTGCTTATGCTGGGTTGGGAGGCCCTGGTCGGCTGCCCAGCTCTCCCTACCCTCCTCAAGGAGAAACCCAGCCCCCCCCCCCCCCCCCCCCCCCTCCCCCTCCACCTCCCCCACCTCCACCTCCCTGCCTACCAACTAGCCTGTCTTCGGAGGACATTCTCATGCCAGTGTCCCTAGGGACAGGGCAGAATCAAGGCACTTTGTGGCCAGGACCAGAGTTTCTCTTGGACAGGGTTGGTACCACCTTTGCCCCCACTCCACATCTCATTGAGCCGGGGGCACACCTCTTGGTAGCAGGCCACTGAGTCGGTCCGTGACTCACGGCAACCCTGCCCCAAACCAAACCCCAGCTATCAAGTGGGCCTGACGATTGGGACCCTATAGGCCAAGGAGAACTGCCCTTGGGGTCCCTGAGATGGTAAACCTTTATGGGAGGAGACAGCCTGTTGGTTTTTTTCCTGCGGAGCAGCTGGTGGGCTTGAACCACCGACCTTGTGGTCGGCAGCCCAATGCCCAGCCCACCTCGCCACCAGGGCTCCTCAGTGCTGACTCAGTGGAAGGACGTGGGTGAGAGGTGGGGACCTTCTCACAGGCCCCCTTCCCTGGTCAGATCTGGAGAGCCGAGACTGTAGCAACATGGTGCCGGCTGAGAAGACCCGAGTGGAGAGCGTGGAGCTGGTCCTGCCTCCCCACGCCAATCACCAGGGCAACACCTTCGGGGGCCAGATCATGGCCTGGATGGAGACCGTGGCCACCATCGCAGCCAGGTATGGGGAGAGTGCCCTGTGTCCGCTTCCCCTCCCCCTTGCCCTCCCCTTTGCTCTTTGCCTGTGACCTCTGGGAGAAATCCTAGCTTGTTGCTTCCACATTGCCTGTTCTGCTGGGGTAACCCAGGGCTTTCAGACCCAGCGAGGCTGGCAGGCCAACCTGTCTGTCCTCCACAGCCTGCCTGGTGAAGGCCAAGCCCTCCCCTGGCCCGAGGCCTCCCCTTGGCCTTGCCTGCCTGCCCTCTCTTCCTTCTACTAAAGCTCTCCACTTTAGGCTCCCCTCAGACTCGGCTGTAGGCCATCCCCCATGCCTGTCCTCCCTGGGCCTGGGCACTTTTAGCCTTTGCTCTGGGTCTAAACAATCAGTGTCCCTCTGTAACGCCCCCTCCCCTCTTGGTCCTGCAAAATCCCTTCCCACCTCCTCTGATGGTCTTTCTTGGGGGATGAAAACCATACCATCCTTCCATAGCCTTCTGCGCGTATCCAGGGCTTGTTCGACCCTAAACACCCGTGCTTAGTGTTTTCTTAGTTTCAACTTTTGCTTACTGGTGGTCACTGTCATGCCTCCATGCCTCGGCTGGTCCTCCTTTGGTGGCTAGTGCACTTGGCCCTGCACAGGGGCTGGCCTGTGTGTGTGAGGGAGCAGGGCATCCCAGGCAACCCCCAGCTGTGAGTGCCCTCAGATCTCAGATGAGGAATGAGCCCAGGTTGTCAGGGAGGACTTCCTGGAGGAGGGACACAGTTGTGGGGGGGCGGGTGTCCTTCCAGAGATAAGGGCTTGCGCTGAGGAGGGAAAGTGGGGGAGGCCCGGCCCTGGCTTTGCTCCATCCCCTCCACCTGAGCTCCCTCCTGCTTGTGCTCATGGACTGTGGGCTGGGGTAGATGGGCCGTGGGTTCTGCTCCTCTGGCAGAAGTGTCGCTGGGTTTGGTGAGATGGATGGGCAGAAGGTTGGGCCTTGAGGGGGGGTGGGAGCAGGTCCAAAGCAGTGGCTAAATCACTGGGGCTGGGGGTGTTCCCCGCCTTCCTCCAGCCGACTGTGCCGCGCCCACCCTACGCTGAAGGCCATTGAAATGTTCCACTTCCGGGGCCCGTCCCAGGTCGGGGACCGGCTGGTGCTCAAGGCCATTGTGAACAACGCCTTCAAGCACAGGTGAGGGGCTGGGCTGGGTGATGCTTTGTCTCTGTACCCACTGGGAACCCTGACCCTACAGACCAGGGCTGAGCTCCTGCCTGCCCACTACCGTCATGGAGATTTGGGCTGGGCTGGGCTGGGAGCCCTGGTCTGTGCTTCCTCAGCCCCTGGGCTGCTTGGGGCCACAGTGTGCTCAGGGGTCTCGCCTCTCTCCTGCCGGGGGCACTGAAGGTGCTCAGATCCCAGGGCCCCCACCTGCCAGTGTCTGTTGTTTAGCACTCCCACCCATTTCCTAGGACAACAGTTAGTCCCTGCCCCCTCTCCCACTGGCCCTTCGGAATAACTTCTGATCCCTATTCCCAGGAGTTCGGACTTTAAATGAGTGTCTTTCCTGGAGGTTTTAAGGATCCCAGGGTAGTGGTTGGGAGAAATGTGGGGCTCTCGACTCCTATCAAGATTTCAGCCTTGGAAGCTCCCTGGGACAGTTCCACCCTGTCCTGTGGGGTTGCTGTGAGTCTGCAGCATCTTGAGGTTTGAGGTTAGTGGGGTTGTGATAGTGTAGCATTCAAAGTAAGGAAGGGTGGCCCCATCTCTGACTGGCTGTGGGACCTTGGGCAGGCTACTAACCCCTCTGAACTTCAGTTCCTTTATGAGTGAAGTGGGGCTCGCCCCACTGTGAGTACTCCACGAGGTGAGTGGCCGAGACAACGATCGCGTATGGCCA